ATTGCACGTGGCTAATTGGCTTATTATTAGTCACTTGTAATTGAGAACAGACATTGCTACCCTGCCCCCTCCCAGCCTTTCTTTGTTTTTCAAGCCTGATTTTTGGAAAATCCTGTCTTGTAGGACATCATATAGCCTGGATCTATTGGAGGTGTCCTCATGACTAGATTCAGTGCACACGTTTTGGCAAGGGGACGTTCAGGATGGTACTCTGTGTTCCCAGCAATCCCCACTGGGATGCTGGGTTCTGAGGGATCTTATCATGGGAGATGCTTCAACCTTCCTTGATTTTTCTGCTAAGAGTCAAAGGGACCAAAGCTGCTTGGTAGAGCTTTCAGATGCTTCTTGGTAGTAGGAATGGTTTGGAGGGGTCACAGACTGGGGTTTTTGTCTTTATTCTCTGTAGTCTGTGAACAGCTGCCTTTCGCTTTCTCCAAGATGCCAGGTGGGATTGGCTCCTTACTTTTAAACAAACGAAGACCCACTTTCTTGTGGGGCCCTCCATCTCATAAGGTAGTTACACTTTTGCATATTCATGAGTATCAGCGTTACACATTATGACATACTCCTGCCTACTCTGCTTCTGGAGATTCCTTCCCCCAAACCAATCTGTCAATACTTATCCCTAACACAGATACCTTGATAGCTAACTGCTTTCTGCATAAGCCTTCTTTCTTTAAAGCTTTTTCAGCCTATTATTTTGAGGAGAGATTATGTGGTAATATATGTATAACACTTGCTGAAAGCTCTTGGGGCAAAGAGGTTACAGTTCTACCCAGGCAGCAGCTGCTGTAGTAGTAGCAGTTGGGGGTTGGGGAGGAGGAGGGGAAGCAGTCCTGTGCACCTGGGAGACCGCATGGGATTTTCCAGTGAGATACTGAGCTGTTTCTCTTGGACTCTTTGCAGTGCTATGACTCTGAAAAAACCTTTCATAGTCTAGAATAGTGTTTCTCAATCGGAATAGCTACTATTTGAAAGTCTTCTATTTCTTTTTAGAGTCATTGCATCTTTTTATTTAGCCCTGCTTCAAGACCATTCTCACGTATATTATTGGATCAGCCAGGGGCCAATCAGGAAAGAGAAATCATCTAGATTATTTAAAACAGAGGAAATTTAATTTAGGAAACTGGCAACAAATGACAGAGGAGCCTGAGAAGCCAAACAGACAATAGACAGACCACCCAGAGAAGAGCAATTTAGGAGGCTTTGACCTGCCCTCGGTAGGTGAAGGAAAGAAGGAAGGAGTGATGATACCAGAGCCTGAGGGTCACTAGGAAAGGCTCAAGGATATCTCTGTTCAAGACAGAGACAGAAATCCCCTGAACTCTTTGCTCATTCTGCTTTCTAGCCACCCACTAGTGTCCCCCTTTGGCCAAACCTGCAGGAGGCCAGCTGACAGCAGATTTGGGAAGCAGGGCCTTCAGAAGCCAGTCCTCGACCTTACAGAGCAGCAGAGCAGGGGAAAGCACAGTTCTGAGGACAAAAACTCTCTACCAGCATAGTCATTGCCCCTGGAGTTAATCTCGTTCTGGATTATTAATATATAATTTTAAGCCAATCTTCCTGTATACCTTTTATGCACTTAGTTAATATAATGAAATAGTCATCCTTTCAGATGAATTATGCACTGTTTTTTTCCTGCTTTGTGTAGCTGTTGAATTCTTGGAAATTATGCATAGCAGTAGCAACAACAGCTCATTGGTGTTTGGAACTCATAAATAATAATTATATTGTTAATTACCTTCACCGTTCATGAAGCACTTTCACATACATTATGCTGTGTGATTCTCATAAAACTTTTTGAAATGTTAATATTGTTCCCAATTTACAGAAGTATTATCTGAGTCTTGGAGACTTTATATAAATTGCTCAAGGACAAACAGCAAGTACCTGAGTCAGAATTTAAACTGGACTGTCAGGTTCCAAACTCCATAATCTTCTCATGATATTCTGATGTTTCATTCCAGAAGTTGCCCAGGGGGCATAGCAAGATTTTTTTTATTAGCTGGCTGGCTGAGTTTCAGAAGAAGGAGAGGATACATTTTAAATTTGAAAAATACTTGTTGACCTAGAAATTAAATTACCTTCCTGGGTATAAGTGACACCAGAACTATCTGGCATTCTGGTCTGGAGAGTTATGTTGTCCCTGAAGAACTACACTCTTGCCGTGTACACATCTCAATTTAGTATTTCAATATACAGGGTTCCCATCTCTCATCAATAAAATACAGGACATCTAATAAAATTTGAATGTCAGATAAATAAGTTTTGGGCATAAATATATATCTGACACTCAAGAGGTATTTCAGCATTTGCTAAATCTGGCAATCATCTCAAGGCGAGATGTGATTCCAAGGTTTCAGGGGGCATTTTTGTGTGCATGGCAGGGGTACTGGGAGGATACTGGGGACAGGAGCCCATATGGCCCTGCATTTACCATCTGTGCAGGCCATGAGGTAATTATTCCTGCACAGGTGCAGAAGCAGAAAAAAGGGTCTGGAAGGGGATCCCCAGTGTCCAGCATGAATTCTGAATTAGAGGTTCTCTGTGTGGTAAGGAGAAGTAACCCAGCCAGAAGTCCAGGCTGAGGTTGATTCACTTGATTTCATGTAGGTTTTCTGTTAGTCTTTTTTCACTGGTGAATATTCAAATCTGACCAGAAAGTTAAAATTAGTCTTTGAGATGAGTAAACTTACTTGAAGAAAGGATAACAGGAAGGGGCCAAAGGTAGCCTAGATGTGTCAGCAGAAAAGGCTGTGAATGGCATGGACTAGGTAAGGAGGTTTGCATTAGCAGTGGGCCAGGAGGAGACAAGGGCTAGCCTGCAGTCCTTCCCAAGGGTGCCAAGGAGGGGCTGAGGCAGATGAAATGCTGGGCCAGGCACTTGCCTCCCATTCAATGCCAAGCTGGGAGAGGATGCCACCAACTGTTAACTCTGGAAGTCAGTCAATGCAATATACAGAGAAAGAAATTACCCAGTTACTCATCCTGGAGCTCAGAGAGGGACCCCTTACCACTCAGTCAATCTGGAACCTTGAATAGGCTATTATTATTTCTGGGCCTTTGACTGTAAAAATGTGATGGTGGATGATATAATACATACCCTTTATGGTTCCTCTTAGTTCTAAAAATTCTTCTCCTGGTATATGTATGATTAATATATATATATATATATATATATATATATATATATATATATATATATATATATATATATATTAGTACTGGAGATTGAAACCAGGGACACTTTACCATTAAGATACATTCCCAGCCAGCCTTTTCACTTTTTATTTTGAGACAGGGTCTCACTAAGTTGTTAAGGCAGTCTTCAAATTTGCAATCCCCCTGCCTCAGCATCCCAAGTCTTTGGGATTACAGGCCTGCACCATCACCCCCACACACCAGCATGGCATATGTATAATGTTAAGCCCTCTTATGTCTGCTGTTCTGTGCACTAGCCAGGCAAGAGGACTGATAACCATACTTCATTATGTAATCTTTATTACATCTGAAGATTGCTCATTGTTTTAGTCAGTTTTTTTGCTGCTGTGACTAAGTTTATTTAGGGGGTCACCGTTTCAGAGGTCTTAGTTCATAGAAGAGCGGCTCCATTCCTTGGGGCCCGAAGTGAGGCAGAACATCAAGGTGGAAGACTGTGTCAGAGGGAAGCAGCTCACATGGTGATCAGAAAGCAGAGAGAGAGAGAGAGAGAGATGTCTCCACTGGCAGGATACAAATGTATACTCCTAAGCCTTGCCCCAATTCCCACCTTCTCCAACCACACTCTACCACTTCAGTTACCACTCCATTAATCCCTATCAGGGGATTAATTCACTAATTGGGTTAAGACACTTACAACCCAGTCATTTCTCCTCTGAACCTTCTTGCACTGCCTTACATATGAGCTTTTGGGGGACACCACATCTAAACATAACACTCATTCATTTTCCCATCAAGTTTTTTCCTCTTCCAGGTAAAATATCAAAATCCTTTTTTCAAAGGGCTGTATTCAAATGAGGTGACCATTGAGATCCACACTTTTCTAAAAGCCTCAGTCAGTGGTCCTGAACTGGCAAACCTCCTGTCTGAGTCTTCTGTGCCACTGGGATTGTAGGTGTTTGTAGCCATCCTGACTCATGTATTGTATCTTTCTAAATGCTACTAAAATGGATCAAAGTGTCCTAAGAATAAAAATGCTAATTATATAAAATAATGCATGAGTTACTTAGTTCAAATTAGTCATTTCACCTGTATGTACACTTTAAAACATCATGATGTATATGATAGATATAAAAATTGGTCACTGTAATCAATTAATAAATAACAAAAATTAAAAACATTATAAAAGGCAGGGATGGTGGCTCAGTGGTAAAGTGCTTGCCTCACACGTGCAAGACCCTGGGTTCGATCCTTAGCACCACATTAAAAAATAAATAAATAAGTGAAATAAAGGTATTGTGTTCAACTACAACTAAAAAATAAAATATTTTAAAAAAATTATAAAAAAGCCTCAGTCAGCAAGATAATTAGGAACTCAATTATAGAGCCTGAGGCCATGAGTAGTATTTCAGTCCCAGTTTACCCTTCATTGGTTCTTTTATTCATTCAGCACATATTTCTTGAGTTTCTGCCATGCCTCAGCAGAGTTAAACTGGAGGGTAGAAAACTCCAGCAGAATTACAAAGCTTGGGAAATACCCAATGACACGTGATTAAGTCCTTTGCTGCTTCTTCAATGCTGGACTCTGGAGTTTCAGAGTTCAGCCACTTGTCCATCAAATGGTAGAGGCAAAGTGAAAATGAGCTGTTGTTGAGGGTTTCAGTGAAAGGTTGAAAGTGTTGGTTAAATTGAGGTATTTGAATAATCTGTGGGTTTCACCTCCATGTAGCTGCTGGCCTCTAAGACCAGACAGAACTGGGAACTGGCTCCTTCTACCCAACGTAGAGCAACCTTCTGGAATGCCCTTGCCTTACATGCTGCTTCTTTTCCTTTGTCCACAGTGCTGCCCTTGAGATGGAGTTGCTGCCCCTTTGGCTCTGCCTGGGTTTTCATTTCTTGACCATGAAATGGAAGAATGGAAGTGGGATGGCCATGGTGGCTTCCCAAGGGGGTTGCAAGTTGGTGAGTTTCCCCCTTGAACTCTGACTTGTCTGCTGCTCTTGTCCCAACCTTGTCCTGATTGATAGATTGTTAGTCAAGGAGGAGTGTCTGGATCACTGTGAATCTGCCTCACTCAATGCCATGTGTAGCTCTTTAACTGAAGGTTTTAAAGATAATGCCTGGGAACGGCCAGCAATCCCTGTCATCTTTCTCATACTAGGTACTGCCAGAGTGGTTTACATATTTTAACTCATTTAATTATCACAATAACCCAGTGTTATGGAATTATTGATAGGTATTATTATTATTACTTCTCTATTTTATAGATAGCAGGGGCTATGGCACAAAGTGGCTTCAGTGTCACCAGCTAATCAGTGGTGGGGCTGGGCTTTAAACCTGGTGTCTAAGATGTGGTGTCATATACTTGTAATCCCAGCAGCTCGGGAGGCTGAAACAGGAGGATTGAGAGTTCAAAGCCAAACTCAGCAATTTAGCAAGGCCCTAAGCAACTTAGTGAGACCCTGTCTCTAAATAAAATAGTCTGGGGATATGGCTCAGTTGTTAGGCATCACTGGATTTGATCCCTGGTACCAAAAAACAAAACAAAAATCCAGATTGGTCTGACTCATAATCCCTATATCATAGTGGAGCATACTCTAGACTAGTGGTTAGAGGTTACTGCTAGTGGTTCAGAACCATGACAGCTGGAGTTTTAAAGAATACAGCATGAGGGCTGGGGTTGTGACTTAGTGGTAGAGCGTTTGCCTAGCATGTGGGAGGCATTGGGTTCAATTCTTATCACCACATACAAATAAATAAAGAAAATAAAGGTCCGTCAACAACTTCAAAAAAAAAAATAAATAAATAAAAGAAGAATAAAGCATGAAACCTTTGGCTGCTTTTCAGGGTGCAGGCTAGACTCTCTGCCTGACCCTTCTGGTTTGGCTGCCAGAAGCAGGGATTCAGCTGCCAGGAAGCTCAAAGAATGGACTTCCCATGACTCTTACAATTTGAGAACTGTTTGCAAGTCATTACACTGGCCATTTGATGTTAAAATGAACTGGACATGGTAAGGATTTCCGGGGCTCTGGTGGCCATGTGTTCTCTGAAGTGCTTTGGTGGGTCCACAAAGAATTGCAAAGGTCTTTACTACAGCAATTGTGGTAGGACAGGGTCTCACAGCTTGAGGAAAGCCCCTAACCACAGCACTCTTCAGAGACTCCCCATGAAGCCAGGAGACCAACGCTTACTCAAATATAGAAAAACACCTTGTCTTGGGGTAGGGGAGGGGGGCATTCAATTCTGTAAAAATGCAAGTTCTCCCCCAAATTAATCCATAGTGGTAAAATGGTAATGAAATACCAATCAAAATTCCAAAGACTTTTTTAGGGGGAGTGGAGGGTGTGGAAGGAACCTGACAAATTCATTCTAATATCCATCTGGAGATTTAAAAACAACTCAAATGTTCAATAATGGGGGATTAATTAATTAGATGAAACAAATAATTATTACTAACTTTGGACATAATAAATGCGTTTTATATAAGCAATCACACTCAATCCTAAAAAAATAAAAAATACAAGTATAATTTTCACTTTGCAGGCAGGGTAGTAGAGTTCTACTGATGAGGTAACTATCCCAAGGTCACCCATTTGATAAAAAACAGAGTCAAGGACTGGGGTGTAACTCGGTAGAACACATGCTTACTTATGTGAGGCCCTGTGTTCCATCCTCAGTACCAAAACAACACAACACAACAAAACAAAAAGAAAATTACAACCCAAATGAAGTGAACCTTAGAACTCTTGTTCTTCATCATTGCTATTCATGCAGTGTACTAATATGGTTCCTAAAAGGAAATGTGATCAAATTTATTTTTTACTGCCAAAACAATATGTCTATCATGCATTATTGGGAATGGAGTAGATTACTGAACATCTTGTAGAGTTTGTTCTCATTTTTTTTAAAGGGTAGGTAATATCTTTAGAAAAGAGTGAGAAAGAGATGTAACAAAAAGTTAGTGTGTGTTTTTCTGAGGGAGAGTCTGAGGTTACTGAAGAGTTTATTTTTCTATATTTCAATATAGCATCATTTTAATTATCAGAGGATGTTGTTTTTAAAATCAGATAAAGAACTTGCAGGTTCAGCCGGGCACTGTGGCGCATGCCTGTTATCCCAGTGTGACTCAGAAGGCTAAGACAAGAGGATGGCAAGTTCAAGGCCAGCCTCAGCCACTTAGCAAGACCCTCATCAGCTTAGCAAGACCCTGTTTCAAAAAAAAAAGGACTGGGGATGAAGCTCAGTGATAAAGTGTCCCTGGGTTCAATTTCCAGTACCAAAAAATATACATAAGATAAAATAACTTGAAATTCTAAGAGATTAGTTCCTTGCCCAGGGTCCAAAATTAAGAAGTGGGAGAGCAAGTTTCCAGCTTGAGTGTTAGCTCTCCTAACTTGGATTTCTTACCCAGGACTCTTCTTCCCTGTTCCATTTGCCCTCAGGGATGGGGTCCACAATTTTAGCCAATCATTGGCCTTGTTTTCCAACCTATAGAAAGGAATAACATGGCTTTATTAAATTACCATTTTAAACTGTTTTCACTAACACCTAACTTACATCCTATGCTTTTGCCAATTCTATAAAACATCTGGCTGAGTTAAAGAAGGCTTTATATGATTTCTGCTGTGACATCAGGGTCACCCCATTCTTCTGTCTCCTTAAAGTGCACAATCAGTAGACCTGCTATCATATTTATTTGATACAGGTATAGGGGAGCTTCCCAGGCAAAAATATTTTGGGTGAAATGAAGGTGCCACAATACAGCTGGTTGTTGGGCAATGGCGCTGTAGATACCCAACTATTATGTCACAGTGGTACTGTGCAGTGTGAACCATTTACCCTGTACCAACTATGTACCTGGCACCGTGCTAAGCTCCTCATGAGAGCCACTTTAATCTTACAACGACCCTTCTAAATAGGTGCCACTTTTTATCTTCATTTTGCAGAACAGACTGAAGGTTAAATTATTTCCCCAAGGTCACAGAACATAAACAACAGAGGCAGAATTCAAATCCAAGTAGAGACCTGGTCCTCAACCCTCAGAGTTAAAACTAAACTTCAAATACAGTTGTCAATTCTCAGCACCTGATGTCAGATCTTCTCTGACACCCTGTGTTTTAAGTGAGGCCTGGAACTCAACTCTTGGCTATTTTTAAAGTGTGAAGGTAAAGAATATTTTCCTATCCTATTTCAAAAACTCTAATCTCCAGAGTCATTTCCAGTGGTTTCAGAGACAGTCTGATGAATGAACCAAGTATCTGTGCATAAATCTGTACTTTAGAGATGTCTTTTCCACTGACCCATGTGTTTTGGACCTAGGGGGATGGCGTTGCCGACTGCAGAGGGCAGAACCTTGCTTCAGTGCCCAGCAGCCTCCCGTCCCACTCACAGACACTCATCCTGGACGCCAACCCTCTCAAGACCCTGTGGAATCATTCCCTCCAGCCGTACCCTCTTCTGGAGAACCTCAGCCTGCACAGCTGCCACCTGGGACTCATCGGCCTTGATGCCTTCCAGGGGCAAGGCCACCTGCACAGTCTGGCTCTGGCTGACAACTGCCTCTCTGAGAACTACAAAGAGACAGCAGCTGCTCTCCACACTCTGCCAGATCTGCGGAGGCTCGACTTGTCAGGAAACTCCCTAACGGAAGACATGGCAGCCCTCATGCTGCAGAACCTCTCTTCACTGGAGGCTGTGTCCCTGGCAAGGAACACCCTGATGAGGCTTGATGACTGTGTCTTTGAGGGCCTGGAGCACCTCAGGGAACTGGATTTGCAGAGGAACTACATCTTTGAGATTGAGGGTGGTGCTTTTGATGGCTTGACTGAGCTTAGACGCCTCAACTTGGCCTACAACAACCTCCCCTGCATTGTAGACTTTGGTCTCACACAGCTACAGTTTCTAAACATCAGCTACAATGCCCTGGAGTGGTTCCTGGCAGCCAAGGAGGAGGCTGCCTTTGAGCTGGAGATGCTGGACCTGTCTCACAACCAACTGCTGTTCTTCCCTCTCCTACCCCAGTGCAGTAAGTTGCACACTCTCCTGCTACGGGACAACAACATGGGCTTCTACAGGGACTTGTACAATACCTCGTCACCGCAGGAGATGGTGGCCCAGTTCCTCCTTGTGGACGGCAACGTGACCAACATCACCACTGTCAGCCTCTGGGAAGAGTTTGCCTCCAGTGACCTGGCAGCTCTTCACTTCCTGGACATGAGCCAGAACCAGTTCCAGTACCTGCCAGATGGCTTCCTAAAGAAAATGCCTTCCCTCTCCCACCTGAACCTCAACCAGAATTGCCTGATGATGCTCCACATCCGGGAGCATGAGCCCCTAGCCGCACTTACAGAACTAGACCTGAGCCACAACCAGCTCTCAGAGCTGCACTTGGCTCCAGGGCTTACGGGCTGCCTAAAGAGCCTCCGCTTGTTTAACCTGAGCTCCAACCAGCTCCAGGGTGTCCCCACTGGCCTTTTTGCCAATGCCAGTAACATCACTACAATTGACATGAGCCATAATCAGGTCTTACTTTGTCCCCAGCCAGCTCCCTTAGATAGGGCAGGACCCCCCAGCTGTGTGGATTTCAGAAATATGACATCTTTAAGGAGCCTCTCTCTGGAGGGCTGTGGGTTAGGGGCATTACAAGACTGCCCATTCCAAGGGACGGCCCTCACTCACTTAGACCTATCCAGCAACTGGGGGATTCTGAATGGGAGCATTGCTCCTCTCCAGGATATTGCCCGCACCTTACAGGTCCTATCTCTCAGGAACGTGGGCCTCAATTCTGGCTTCACAGAATTGGACTTTTCTGGATTTGGGAATCTGAGGGACTTGGATCTGTCAGGAAATTTCTTGACTAGCTTCCCGAGGTTCAGGAGCAGCCTGGCTCTGCAGACCCTGGATCTCCGCAGAAACTCTCTCACTGCCCTTCCTCAGAGGGCTGTGTCTGAGCAGCTCCTGAGGAGTCTGCAGACCATCTACCTCAGTCAGAATCCATATGACTGCTGTGGAGTGGAGGGATGGGGGGCCCTGCAGCACCTAAAGAGTGTCGCCGACTTGGCCATGGTCACTTGCAACCTCTCCTCCAAGGTCATTCGTGTGCTGGAGCTGCCAGGCGGCGTGCCTCAGGACTGCAAGTGGGAGCGGGTAGACATGGGCCTGCTCTACCTTGTGCTTATTCTCCCCAGCTGCCTCACCCTATTGGTGGCCTGCACTGTGATCTTCCTCACTTTTAAGAAGCCTTTGCTTCAGGTAATCAAGAGCCGCTGCCACTGGTCCTCCGTATACTGACCTGGTGACATACCAGGTTAGAAATTTGATTTGTTCAACTTTCTTTGCTAGATTTTAAGATCTGCTGCAGAGGTCAGGTGTGGTGGTGTATGCCTGTAATCTCAGTGGCTCTGGAGGCCAAGGCAGGAGCACTGCAAGTTCAAAGCCAGCCTCAGCAACTTAGCAAGGCCCTAAGCAACTCAGTGAGACCCTGTCTCTAAATAAAATACAGAAAGAGCTGGGGATGTGGTTCAGTGGTTAAGCACTCTGTGATTCAATCCCCGAAAAATCTGCTGCAGAGGCCAAGTCTGATGAGTTGAGGTTTAAATTAAAAATTTAAATATCTCCATCCTTTAGTCCCCTCAAGTCCTTCCTCCACCCTTGTGATTCATCCTCATCATCCAGATAAAATATTTATTGACATACTATGAAAATAAAAGACAATGTGTCTCAAATATTTTTTAAATCAAACACAGCTTGCCTTTTTTTCTTTTTCTGATGTTCTTTTGTGTATTTTCCCATTATTGTTTTTCAGTTCCTTTCCCTTGGTGACATCCATGGAGATAAAAGAGTAGCAATCCAGTGCTACTCTACAGCAAGCACACCTTTGAGAGCATGTCCTAGGGAGGGTGAGAGTCAGTGCCCTGGGGATTTGGCAAGGACAATGATTTCCAGGCACAGCTGGAGGGTCTGGCATGAGACAAGTCTCACCCCCTGATGTTGGCCCTGTTGCCACTGAAATGAGAAAGGGCCTGTGGCAGGGCCTCTCCAGGGTCCCCGGATTCATATCTAGAGTCTCTGGCAGATGAACATGACCTTTCTATGGAAAAGCTAAAGAGAACAATAACTGTGCTTAGAGTTTCTCCAGTCAGTAAACTGAGCACTAGGAACAGTTTTTGTTCTGAGGGAAAATAAAGAGAAATGCAAAAAGGCGTGAAGTGTGCTCATACTCTTCAAGAGGATCATGAATAACTTCTTAGCCAGTGTTCAGCATCTGTACTCACATCCTCTCTCCCTCCATTCCTTCAGTGAATGGTGAACAAGTCCTGAGCTCCTTTCTAGGAAAAGATAATAAAGACACAGCCCCTGTCTTTTTGGTAGTTGAGAATTCACACTGTCTTTGAACTTTTTTATCTCCACTTATTAATCTTAAAGGGGTTTAACTGCAGTGTGGAAGAGGGAAACTGAGAGAGGACAGAAATCCCACAAACTGATTTCTATTATATTTCTATTACTGTGTAAACTAAATGTCAGAAATCAAAGAGAAAAAAAAAAGTGGCATTACTTTAACAAGCAGAAACTTCCCAAGGGAAGTTTACTCTCCTAGGTTATTTCATTCTGTAGTAACAGTGGCAGTCCTTAGATAGCATTAGATTTTGCCCTTACAGTGACCCCACATTTCCTATCAATGTTTCCATCCTGTAGTGGCCCCATCCAGTGCCATGGCTGTCCCTCAGGTTGCCTTTGGCCAGTCCATCTTGGCAAGCTCCACCAGCCAATGCCCATAAGACCAGACTTTCCTGATTTCTTCCTACATGAACAAAGAGCCCTTTCCCTAGGGCCCTGCTATTTCCCAAAGGGACAACTAGCTTCTTAGACAAGTGAATCTATCTGTGACTGATCTTGAGTTAATGTGTCACCCTTTGTATCAGTCAGCGTTCCCAGTTTCTTGCAACTGAAGATGATCCTATCTGATTTAAGCAGCATGGGGATTTAGTACAAGGATGCTGGGAAATTCTAGTCTCTCTGGTAAGGCTGAGGATGAGGCTCAGAAAATGGGTAGGGATGGGGATGCCATGCAGCAGTTGGAATCTCAGCCCACACTACGTCAAAAACAATCATTGAGAGAACATTGTTGTAATCACTCTTTAATATTGGACACCATGGTTTGCATGGCTGTCACCACTGCAGGATTGCTACCACTGCTGCCACCCACTGCAGAAAATAAATGCCCCCAAATTCTGTTGTGTCACTCACTAGCTAATGCACAATCTGGAGCAAGTGTATGGTCATTTGACCTTAGGTCCTATGCCCCTGCCTGGCTCCTGGAAGAACTGGAACAGCACATGCTGTACCCCTCAGTGACGTGTTTATGATAGCTGGGCTCTGCTTCCTGCAAATACTCATAAGGGACAGAGTTATCAAAACAAAGAAGGGAAGCAAGATGTTGAGCAAACAAAAAGAATAACAAGCACCATTCCCTTTTAAGCAGCATATTCTGGAAACAAATTCATCATATAAAGGAATGACTCTAATGATGGAAAGTTAAGACAGAAACTCAGGTCTGCTGGAGAGATCATCTCTGGGGTATAGAAGGCCCTTCAAAGTTATTCAAGTGGCACCACACAGACCACCCACCTTTCCTGCTCTTAGGGCCCTGCCTAGTAGGGTCTCAGACTGAGAAATTAGGACAGAGCCCTACCTCTGCTGGTGATAGTGACTTCAGAAGGCTGTGGTCTCTCTTTACTAGTTTATTCCATCCCTAAGTTAAAAAAGCTATTTTCTGGATTTCTTTCAGTGTGGTGAGAAGGTTGAATAGAGTGTGTGGATTTCTGCCTCCAGACCTGAGCTACAGTTTCTGCAGCAGATTCTGTACCCTTGCCCAGCTTTGTATACTATAATCCACCTCTGAGAGTGTACTCTAATGTCCTCTCAGGGAGTACTGGAGAGGGAAAGACCCACAGAGCCTGATACCAGAATTCCTTGGTAGGACCAGGGTGGTTATCAGCCTAAGATCTCCCATACAGCCAGAACCGAGCACCAAGCAGTTCTTCCTCAGTGGGTGGGAAGTGGGGTCCACCCCCAGTCGCCACATGCCAGAATATTCACACAGGAAAATGTTCAGAATCAAAGATAAATGTCAGAGACTGGTCTGTTAACATGAATAACAACAATTCAGATATTGAAAATATGGTCAAAATAAAAGCTTAAGGTTTTGTTAGAGGCACAATATAAGTTATTAGAGCTTAGTTGATTTTTTCCAAGGACCCCAGTTGCAAGAAATTGGATAAACAATGATCCTTAGGTCATATCACTGGCCATCTGTCATCATTATTGATTCATGCATGACCCACTTTTACTTACTTAATGTGCCAGATAACTTGCCTTTGCCCCTCCATATCCACTTTCCATATTTCTGTTGCCCAGGAGGGTGACTTCCAAGGTGACTTCTCCCTTTCCCTCTGGCTTCCAGTTCTATCTGGCTAAGAAGAAGTCTTGACAGATTAGAGAAAGAGGAAAATGAGGTTCAGTTATTTACCCTCTTGTCATTTGAATTTGTCTCAAACTGGTGAATAGGTACTATCAACCAAAGATAACACTCCTCTCAAGGTGGCTCTTTATATATAAATCTCTGCCTCTGGGTCTAGGAACCACTCTTGGTGCTGGTCCCTCCCTCTGGGCTTAGGGTAGGTAACAGTTCTGTCTCTTCTGCCCTGTGTAACTGCCTTGTCCTTTGTTGGTTGCCTTTCCCTAACTGACTCTTTGTAAGTAGTCCCTTTATAAATCCTCCTTGAGTTACCTTTGTTGGAATGCACCATCTGGTTCCTTTTGAGACCCTTGGTGATGCAGCTGGTTATTTATTTAGTGATATTGTGATAGAAAATCCCAGAACTGGGGGAGAATGCTAAGAATGCAGCCAGAGCTAGGAAGGCCAGTTCCTTAAAGATGGCGTCCCTCTGAGTCACTGTGTTGACATGAGTAAGATGGCATATCTCATTGTATCACAAATGTATTCAGATTTTACCCAAATTGGAGTGGGAGAAGTTTCTATCCTTAAAGATCTCTAAGACTGGGTGTGGTGATGGCCAAAGTAAACAGATGGTGGCAGGGCTAGGAAAAATGTTATTTAAAAAATACTCCTGGGCTGGGGTTGTGACTTAGTGGTAGAGCGCTCGCCTAGCATGTGCAAGGCTCTGGGTTCAATCCTCAGCACCACATAAAAAATAAAATAAAGATATTGTTGTCCAACTACAACTAAAAAAAATATTTAAAAAAATACTCCTTACTTACTAGTAAGTGCTCTTCTTATCTTTCGTTACCACTAATGATTACCAAACTTTTTCTCTGTGTGTGCTAAATACTTTATATGGCTAAAATTACTTAATCTTGGGGAAACCTAGGCTGAGAGCAGATAAAATTCGCCTAAGGTCATAGAGAACTGTGGTCAAGATGTTATCATTATGTTAAGAAATGTTATCATTATGTTAAGAGAAAGCAGCTTCAGCAACTTGACCATCTTTATCGAGTCCGTCAATCTAAAGGTGATAAGAAGTTGCTGAACAGTAAGCATTTGCTGATTAATGGGAAATGTGAAGAGGCTTCATATGGGGCAGGGGTAAGGAAGACCAGCATAGTAGAAGATCACCTACTGCAACTGAGACTGTTAAGAAGTCATCAGCATGGTGTGGTGATTTTCTGGAGGTAATTTACAACGGGAGGAATCTCACACAATCCCTTCTTCTTGATGTGCAACGTCTTCCTGCTGAACAATCTTGATGAAAGGCTAATCAAGAGGCCTCTGGTTTTCACCAAGATTTTAAAGGTTCAGCGTGCATGTGAGTATTGATTAGAGACTGAAAGTCTTGCCAGGGAGGAGGCAGTTTTAAGGCTGATCACTTGATCCAAATCTTTCAAACATATAACTTTTAGAGATGCACTTTCTCAGGGAAGAAAGATTCAGTTAAACATTAATAAACGTAACTAACTCAGACTTATGAGATGTTAAGACACTGACCCATTCTGAAACTTGGCAGTTCTTGACTCTTGGTGTTACCAAGGAGATAGTCAAAGGGGACTAACTAAACCCCAGAAAAGTCTTCAAAGGAGCTTGCAATGCAACACCTTGACATCTCAGATGGAGTTTCTCTCAAATGATACGTCTCAGGACTTTTAAAAACTGTCTTTTTTTAATGACTGCTCTTGAGAGTTGCTTGTGTTTTTCATATCAGACCCAGCTTTTGTTTTAATTGTCCATTAAATGCCAGTACAGTGACAGTCCTTGGTGGTTATTGGGCTCTTGGACCTGTGTCACTCTTCAGCTTTGCAGTCCTGCACTCCCACCTTCCAGATCCTTTAAGATGTGAAACATGAAAACTAGATTCCCAACAACTGTCATATTTAAAATTTCTCATCAGTAATCTTCCGCTTTGCTTTTTTTCAAGGGTGTTAAGATTATAAGGGGCAATTCAGCCAGGGGTGGTAGTACATGCCTATAATCCCAGTGACTTGGGAGGCTGAGACAAGAAAATTGCAAGTTAGCAATTTAGCAAGGCCCCAAGCACCTTAGTGAGACCCTGTCTCAAAAAATAAAAGGGGTCCAGGCACGGTGGCACATGCCTGTAATCCCAGAGGCACAGGAGGCTAAGGCAGGAGGATCACAAGTTCAAAGCCTGCCTCAGCCATTTAGGGAGGCCCTAAACAACTTAGCATGTTCCTGTCTCTAAGTAAAAAAAAAAGGGGGGGGGGTGGCT